GTGAAGGGAGGATAGATAGACCTGTAAGGTCTTACAGGTTTATCACATTGAAGAATAGATAGCAAAAATGAAGAATAGAAATCTGTTAGGACTCCTGTATGACTAAATACAGGAATCTGAAGGAAAAGAATCAGTAATATGGTTTTTGTCCACAGGCATGGTAATTGTATTGACAGAATAGCAATTAGAATGTTGAGAAAAGGTATTTATTATGGGACTTTTAAGGCTGTTATGACTAAGAAATATCACAGATATTTCTCACAGTTTGGGGAAAATTGGAAAAATTTCATAGTGGGTATTTTTAAGTGATATGGGAGGAAAACTCAAGGGGGTTAAAGTGAGAATGGCAGTAGTTGAATTGTTTTTATATACTTACTTGACTTGTGTAATGTAACCTCTCAAGCACTTTGAGATTGCAAAGTTGGGCGGTTTCTATTTCCTTGACTTCTAATCCTTAAGACCTTGAAAGAGAGCAGTGGTTCCCATCGAGAAAGCTGTGAGCTAATTTGAGTATTTCAGAGAGCTTAATGGAAATCATATATTAACCCAGATTAAAGATATGGAAATTAAAGTTCCTTTGTCTTTGGCTGGAATCCTGTCAATTCAGTACTTAAATACTAGGTCTTCCTTATTGATTAAATGCTTTGTTAGCAGTTATACTTTTTAATTTTTTTGCAGACGTTAAAATGAATTTACTTAATTCATGCAGAGTCGAAACATGGAGCTTGTGAAAGGAAAAATAAATAATAAGAGGGAGTCTTTGGTTAACAGGTTGATAGAGAATATTTTATTTTATCTTCATTTATTTAAATCCAAATTAGTTAACATACAGTGTAGTATTGGTTTCAGGAGTAGAATTTAATACTTCATCTATTACATATGACACCCAGTGCTCATCCCAACAAGTGCCCTCCTTAATGCCCATCACCCATTTAGCCCATCCTCCCACCCACCTCCCCTCCAGCAACCCTCAGTTTGTTCTCTGTAAAGAGTCTCTTATGGTTTGCCTCCCTGTCTGTTTTTTCTTCTTTTTCCTTCCCTTCCCCTGTGTTCATGTTTTTCTCGAATTCCACGTATGAGTGAGATCATATCATATCTTTCTCCAACTGACTTATTTCGCTTAGTGTAATACCCTCTAGCTCCATCCACGTTGTTGCAAATGGCCAGGATTTCATTCTATTTTATTGCCAAGTAGTGTTCCGTTATATATATATGTATGTATGTATATACATATGTACACACACACACACCACGTCTTCTTTATCCGTTCATCAGTCAGTGGACATTTGGGCTCTTTCCATAATGTGGCCATTGTTGATAATGCTGCTATAAACGTTGCGGTGCATGTGCCCCTTCGAATCAGCATTTTTGTATCCCTTAGAGAAATACCTAGTAGTGCAATTGGTGGGCCATAGGGTAGTTCTATTTTTAATTTTTTGAGGAACCTGCATACTGTTTTCCAGAGTGGTTGCACAGGAATATTTTATTATATGACTTTATTTCTGTATCCATTTACTAGGAGTTAATTGGCTAGTTAGTGCTTAGTTCTTACTTGACTAAATATATAAAAACACCACAATAGCTGTTGTTGCTTGTGCCAGAAAGTCAAACTTTTTCATCAACTCTGTTGCTTCTAAGTTTTTTGTTCCTGTTTTGCTTTGATGATTAATAACTTGAAGCAATATTAAAAACATTTCTGTACAGGATAGAGCTGGGCTGGCTCAGTTGAGCGTATGACTCTTGATGTCAAAGTTGTGAGCTCAAGCCCCACGTTGGGTGTAGAGATTACTTAAAATCTTAAAAAAAAATTCTGGACATATCTTCTTTATGATTGTTTCCCCAACTCTTACAACAGTGCTTGGTGCTCAATAAATGCTTGTTGAATGAAACAAAATACTGTGTGTAAATAGTAATTAAAGTTGAAGTAAACATTAAGATATAAGAGAATTAAAAGAATAATGATGCATTGACACTGAGTACCAGAGTGATTTATGTTAATTTTGAGATCTAAGAGGTAGTAGCAGTACTAGAAGCACGAATAATACTGTACTTATTCATAAAGGTCTTTTTCTTTGTTGTATTAGGTAGTTGACATTCAGCTTTCTCAAATGGCCAAAATTTTACCTTATAATCTTGTTTTGGTGTTTTTTTAAAAAAGTTATTTTAGTTTAGAGAGAGTGCACTAGCTGAGGAGAGGGGCAGAGGGCAGGGGTGGGGGAATAGGGAAGGAATCTTGAACAGGCTCCACCCTCAATGTGAAGCCCAGTGTGGGACTCGATCCCATGACCCTGCGATCATGGCCTAAGCTGAAATCACGAGTCAGATGCTCAACCAGCTGAGCTACCCAAGCGCCCCTTGTTGAATGAAATTATTTCAGACGTTCAGGAATCGTATGAAGTGGGTTGCAATAGCAAGGAAATTGCTGAGTGACCAGAAGTAGAAAACTGTAGGTCTCTTCCTTACTGGTCCTTCCACCATGTTGTCTAGGAGTAGTTATAGATTAAATTAGGGTAGTTTATAACTTCATTACTTCACAATTTTAAGGTCCCTAAGGAGTGAATCCAGGCAAGGAAGCAGATATGTCTGTTAGAGCCTGGTGTTTCATGTGTGGAAGGAAAAACAGTGATGCTTGGGAAGTGAAATTAAATTCTCATGTAAGGCATCTTTGAAGGGACATAAGAGAAAAATATGCTGGCGCTAGAGGATTGTAAAATAAGCCTTCTGGTTTTAATCCAAACCTCAGTATTTACTCAGCTCTATCTCACATTTGGTAACCAAAGATAGTTCCATTTGGAACAGTTCTGCAAATGCTTGTGGGATGCCCGCATTATGGCAAACATGGTTTTAAGTGCTAGATCTATACTAGTGAACAAAATATACAAAGTCCCTGGAAATAGAATTAAGAATTAAAAATAAATATATGCTATTTCGGGTAGTAAGAGATACTTGCCTCAGATGTCTTTTGCTGTTTAACAAGCTAGCCCAAAATTTCCTGGCTTAAAAGAAATATCTTACTGTCTCTTAACATTCTGAGGGTTGAAAAGGCTCGTCTGCATGATTCTTTAAGTCGTCTTACTTGGGGACCCTCCTTGGCAGCTTACCTGACATGGCTCATTCACCCAACATGGCTGTCAGATGGTGCTGGTCATTGGGTGCTCAGCTGGGCCTCAGTTCTTTTCCCCTTGTCCTCTCCTTGTGGCTTGGGCTTCCCACAGCCTGTGGCCGGGGAAGGGAAAATGAACCACACCTTCGATGGGTGGTGGTGATAAGATTAAATTGCAAAAGAACACACAGGGTGGGAGATAATGCTGTGGCCCTCTACCGAAACAGCCTACCACAGTGCTATTAAAAATATAAAAATCAGGTAGCATACCCAGTAGTTCCATGGATCTGCCTCTTCCTTCAACGGTATTTGGATGTATCAGACCCAGGGATACCCCTTCTTCCGGCCTTCTACCACTCTCCAACCTCTTTTCCAGTCACAACCTTCAGATCCATCTTCTAAGCTAACCGTTGCCTCTGAGACCAGCTAACACTGTGGTTTTTGGTTTTGTTTTTAAGATTAGTTCCTTATTGCCAAACATGAGCTCCTGGATTTGTCAGAATTATTGCCCTGAGGTGGTGGCTGCTGTCAACCTCCTGGTCAACCTGTATCTGCAGGTTTCCTACACCTACTTCTCTCTGGGCTTATATATCAACCATGATGTTGTGACTCTGGCACTTCTACAAGTTAACTGAGGAGAAGTGTGGGGGTGCCCACTGTCTCCTCAAGATGCAAAAACTAGTGGGTGGCCGCACCCTCTAACACAATATGCAGAAGCTGTCCCAAAATGGGTGGGGTGAAACCTTGGACACTAGGGGAGACACTATGGTCTTGGAGAAGAAACTGAACCAGGCCTTTTTGTATCTGCATGCCTTGGGTTTTGCCCATGCAGACCCTCATCTCTGTGATTTCTTGGAGAGGCATGTACTTGATGAGCAGGTGAGACCATCAAGAAGATGGGCAACCACCTGACAAACCTCTGCAAGCTGGCTGGTCCCCAGGCTGGGCTGGGCAGGTATCTCTTCCAAAGGCTCACCCTCAAGCATGACTGAGAGCCTCTGGGGCCCTCTGAGGGGCCCTCTGGCATCCTGGTGGTATCAGGCTTCTGCCTGAGCCTCTCCCTGCAGCCTCTAGGCAGCTTTTTAACTGCCATGGAGCCCTCTCCCAAACAGTGGACCAAATGAAAACAATAAAGCTTTTGCAGCAAAAAAATAAAATAAGCAGATCAATAGGAAGAAGGAATGGGGAGCAAAAGATATAGGATTGTATAGGTCAGGTAACGCCTCCCTGATGAAGCAACATTTTAGATACTTGAGAGAATGAGCTATGAGAGCCATAAGGACATCTTAAGGAAGCGTATTCCAGGCAGAGAGAATAGGGCATATAGAAACTCTAAGGTAGGAGAATCCTTGGTGTGATCCAGGACTAGCAAGAAGGGCAGTGTGGTGGGGCATGGAGTTAGATTGAGAGAAGCAGATATTGTGGCCAATGGCGAGGGACTGGATGTCCTGTGAGTGAGATGGGAATCTGTTGGAAGATTTTCCGCAGAGAAGTTAAGTGATCTGACTTAAATTTTAAAAGAATCCTGTTGTGAGAATCTTTGGCTCCTGTTTTGAGAATAGACTATGAGAGGACACGAGTGGAGCTAGAGACTCAGGTCAGTAGGCTGGTGCCATGTGAGATGACAGACCTGCTAAGTAGTGAGGCGGGGGTGGGTTTGGGATGCATTTCAGCATGGGAGTGGCAGGATTTGCTGATGAGGGTGGATACGGGGTGAGAAAGAGGGATCGAGGATGACTTCCAAAGTTCGAATTTTCATTTACCAGCGTGGGAAGACTGGGAAGAGCAGGGTGGAGGTGAGGTAGACGCAAGACTTGTACGTTTAGCTTGCGTTGAGGTGAATCTAAGAGGACATCTGGGGAGAAAAAGGTTGCTAATTGTTACTTCCTCATTGCAGGTGTGACGTTGAGTGCTTCAGATCTGGTCACTATGGTACGAGAACGAAAATGCATATTGTGCCACATTGTGTACACCTCAAAAAAGGTAATAAATAGAAGAGGGAGAATCCAAGGCTTTTGTGACTGATTTTTTTTTCCCCCCAGAGACATCACATGGAATTTGTAGATAGGTGAAAGCTTTTAATGGTGTCTTGTTTCCTAAACCATAGTCTCATTCCACTGGTTTCTTTTTTGCTGCCTCATAAAACCAATAACTGCATTATTAAATCTCTACCCAGAATTTGAAGATACTCAAAAATCAATAATAAATAGTTACTAATTTAGTCAGTAACTAGTTACGGAGAAGATGCCTTAAAATTCAATTTATTTGAAGTTATACTATTATCTGAGGAGCTAAGGATACAGCATTTGTTGTCTGTACCCGCATTCTGCTTCTGCCCATGCTTGTGAAAAGTGCAGCACATCAAAACTGGTGTTAACAATACCCTAGATGTCCACAAGGTGGGAGTGTTGCTCAGAGAAAAAACACATCTTTCAGGACTGAAAAGAACTTGTACCTTAGGGAAATTGACTGCAATTTGTCTCACTTTTTGCTTTTTCTTGACTGTGTCGTTTGGTTGTTTTTTTTTTTTTTTTAATTTTTTTAACGTTTATTTATTTTTGAGACAGAGACTGAGCATGAATGGGGGAGGGTCAGAGAAAGGGAGACACAGAATCTGAAACAGGCTCTCCAGGTCTCGCGAGGCTGTCAGCACAGAACCCGGCGGGGCTGGAACTCCGCGGACCCGAGAGATCATGCCTGAGCCAGGTCGGCACGCTAATGGACTGAGCCACCCGCACAGCCGCTCTGGATTTTTTTAAGTAGTGCTGCTAGCTAGAATGCTGAGAGGTTTTTCTCTAAGCTTTTTTTTTTTTTAATTTTTTTTAATGTTACTTAGTTCTGAGAGAGAGAGGCCAGAGCAATCCTGACAAGGGAGGGTAAGAGAGAGGCAGACAGAATCTAAAGGGGGCTTCTTTAATGCCATTGTCAAAGAGCTTCCGAAGTAGGGCTCAAACTCAAGAACTGAGAGATCATGACCGGAGCTGAAGTTGGACACTTAACCAACTGAGCCACCCAGGCACCCCTCTAAGCTTGTAAGATGTCCTGGATTGTCATTGAAAATTCAGAGAACTGGGAAGATTATCATGAGCTAAGTTAGCCAGAGAAGTTTGAGTGAACCTAGAAAGATGTTTGGGAGAAAGATGGTTTAAAGAAATAAAAGAGAAAGATATTTTAGGTGGAATAACAACATGTACAAAAGTGAAGAGGTAGAATGGAGTGTAACAGTTCTAGGAGTCTATCAGAAGGCTTATCCGATTAAAACAGTTTTGTTTTGGGAATAGTGGGACTGCAATATAATTTGTAATTTATTTTTTTTTTTTTTCAACGTTTATTTATTTTTGGGACAGAGAGAGACAGAGCATGAACGGGGGAGGGGCAGAGAGAGAGGGAGACACAGAATCGGAAACAGGCTCCAGGCTCTGAGCCATCAGCCCAGAGCCCGACGCGGGGCTCGAACTCACGGAGCGCGAGATCGTGACCTGGCTGAAGTCGGACGCTTAACCGACTGCGCCACCCAGGCGCCCCTATAATTTGTAATTTAAATGCAGATAGTTATAAACCGTGTTGAATGCCAGGCTGAGGGGTTTGATTATGATCCATCCAGTAGGCTCGGGTAAAGAAATGTTTTTTGTTTGTTTTTCCTGTTTGGGATTTCTGTTAGTGATGGAAAAATTGGTTAGGAGTTTATTTATTTGTTCATTAATATTTTTTTAAAGTTTATTTACTTAGAGAAAATGCAGATGGGAGAGGGGCAGAGACAGAGGGGGAGAATCCCAAGCAGGCTCCATGCCGCCAGCACATGGAGCCCCACATGGGGCTTGAACTCATGAACCCACGAGATTGTGACCTGAGCCAAAATCAAGAGTCTGACACTTAACCAACTGAGTCACCCAGGCACCCAGTTGGGATTCTGAAATCATGTTTAATAATATGGCTGATATCTTTTACAAAAGTAAAAGAACCATTCTTCTAGTTTAAAATTTTTTTGACCAAGGTTTATGCTAATTTGTAATAAATAGAAATTCCTTATGGCTCCTTTCAGACTGGAGGGAGATGGGAACTAGAGAAGTTGTGAGAAGGATAGGCAGACACTCAGGTATGGTTTCAGACTTTCCTGGTGTAGGAGCCCTATCTTGTGATATCTCATAATTTTGCCATTTTAAGTCTTTGGACGTTTCTTCTACTCTAGTTTAAAACGTTTTTGTCTCTTTATATTTTTCCATGGGTCATAATGAAGTTAAATTAAGAGCTGTGATTGATTACCTACTCCTGCCTTAGGAAATGCCAATGATAGGTTTCTTTTTTTTTTTTTAATATTTGTTTTTGAGAGAGAGTGAGCGAGCATGAGCAGGGGATGGGGGGAGGGAGGTCAGAATTTCTGAAGCGGGCTCTGAGCTGACAGTTGAGAGCCCGATGTGGGGCTTGAACTCACGAACCATGAGATCCTGACCTGAGCCTAAGGTGGATGTCTAACCGACTGAGCCATCCAGGTGCCCTGTCAATCATAGGTTTTTAAGTGAGGGAATGTGTGATATAAGTGTTAAGATTAATGTGGTGTTGTGGTGCCTGGGTGGCTCAGTCATTTGAACCTCCAACTTTTGATTTAGGCTCAGGTCATGATATCGAGCTTCGTGGGTTCAAGCCCCACCTCGGGTTCCGTGCTGACAGTACGGAACCTGCGTAGGATTCTGTCTCCCTCTCTCTCTGCCCCTCCCCTCACATGTGTTTTCTCTCTCTCTCTTTCTCAAAAATAAATAAATATTAAAAAAAAAAGTTAATGTGGTCTAAGAAATTAGCAGAATGGGTTAGTTGAAAGGAATAACTCTGATAGTTTTAGATAGATTATGAATAACTTATGTTGAAGCAGTGCTTTCCTCTAGTCTCCCAAACTAGCATAACCCTAATTTCTCCAAATATACTGTGGAGAAGAAAAAGAACCTAAATGTCCTAAGTATGGGGAAAAGCTGTATACTGCATCCCTGAGCATTCTGATGCTCGTTAATTTATGAAAGGCTGAGAAGCCCTGGAGTTAAGAAATACTAAAAAAAATAATAATAATAAATTTGTTGTTTTCAGTGTTTTCTAAATTTGTTCAACTGCCAAATCTTTTAAAAAAAAATTTCTTTCCTCCTTCTCCTTTAGAGAATATAACATTGTTAATATAGAAGAACTAAATAGAAGCTTGATAACTGAGCAAGTATGCGTTTGGGGCTATTACTCTAATCCCGTGCCCATGGATCTTTCCTAGTTATTTTGAAAGCTCAGTTGTCACACTATTTGCATTCATTCCTTGGAGCAGGATGGGAGAGGATTTCAGATGTAAATTTAGGAAAAGATTTGTGAGGTGTTTTAGACAATCAAGTCATTTTAAAACAAGTTTTGAATGATAACATTTTTATAACTGAAATAGAATATAGAATTAATTTTTATATCAGAGAGCATGACCTATTTCAGTGAATGGTGTTTTGGTCAGAATGGTTGCAAGAAACAGAGGGACTTAAATTTAGCTCAAGAAAAGGGAATTTGGCACATGTAAATCTCATATAAGGGAAAATTGAACAAAGGGATGCATAGGGATTTGAGTAGGTGTTGTATATTGTTCATGGATTTTTTTCATTGTTTATTATGTCACTAACTTGACTCAGCTTTCAGCTATGTAAGTGTACATTGTAATTAGTGGCCAATCAGTTGTAGGTAGAAGGACGTCACATGTAAAGCCATCCTCCAAGTGAAGCATTTGTAGAGATAGGAAGGAAATGATGGTCATCTTCAATAAAATTGTCATTTAAGGGATGTATTTTGAATCACATCCCTGTTTGTCACACTGTAGTAGATAACTTAAAGTAAGAATAGGTTATTGAGTTGTACTCTTTGACAAATGAATTGTATATAATGAGAAATCTGAATGCACTAGATGGTTACAGTGCTTTGCTGTCAAAAACGTCAGGATCTGAGTTCTAGTTTGACCACTTGATTATCTCTGACTCTGAGAGGGCAAGACTGAATATTTTCACACTTACCCCTTCAGTGTCTACGTCTGTACTTGGCATATAATAAGCAGTGATTAGTATTTGGTGAATAAATGAGTTAGCTCCTGTGTATCCTTGTATTCTTTTGAAATTAATAATATTCCCTCAGCAGTGTTGTGCAGTTCATGTGAAGAAATGTTTGAGGCACTTAAAAACAGGGCACAGTTAATAGTAATAGTCAACAATTATAGTAGTCCTTTGATTATACATGTCAACAGCCATTCTTTAATTATGTCGTGCTGCGTATGTATACTTGCGTGTGACAAAGGGATAGACATTTACAGCTTTGAGTTTTTGGAGGTGTGTGTGCATATGTTTTTAAGTGGAAGCTCTTCCTGCAGATTTTATTTTCTTCCCACTAAGAATGGGATGGAGGGAGGAGAGAACCTCACAAATTTTCAAACATTTCATCAGAATCAAACAAATCAGTGGAGGAGATTGGGCAGTGAAAATGAAAGCATGATTGAGCTGCTGTGTTCAAAGCAGTTTTCAAAGACTTCATAATCAACCATGGAGAAGTTCTGTATCTGTAACTTCTACCTAGAATTGATATATCCATCTGTTCATTCAGCAAATGTCGACAACCAGATGCCAAGCCCTGGCCAAGACTTGAGTAACAGTTGGAATTTGCTCTTGAGAAACTATCAGTTGAGTAGGGAAAGAAAATCTGGAGAAAAGTAGCCAAAGAGCTGAGAAGTTAAGTGACTTCAGAGATTTTTTTTTTCTTTTTTATATAATTGTAGTTAAATTCTTTATTTGGGGATAGAATTTAACCCACATAGTTTATCTTAAATATTTTGCCCCCCCCCCAAGACAGTATACTTTCTAACCTTTTTGGAAAGCCATTTAATTGTTTTTTTTTTTTCTTAACAGTTCTTTTATTTAAGAATGAAATATGCCCAAAACATAGCTGAAGAATTATGAGGAACTGGTTTCACTATTGAATTGAGAAGGGTAACCATGGCAAGGAACTTGAACCCTAGTTGTTGATTGAGTAAAAACAGAGGGATTTCTTTTCCCAAAACAACCCCCCCCTTAGTTTAATCTGCTTTCTTTAATTTTGAAGGAGATGGACGAACACATGCGGAGCATGTTGCATCACAGGGAGCTTGAGAACCTGAAGGGCAGGTATGGGAACGGCTGTATTCCATAACTTGTGAATGTCGTGGGAGCTGAGTGCTGAGGGTGCCTGTTAGCTTATTTCATAGTAATCCTTCATAAGTGAATATTGTCCTATGACATAGAACTGTCTTTTAGAATTATTGATGAATATAGTAGTTTTTTTTGGCATTCAAAAAGGGTAAGTCTTTGTGTATCTAGAATGTGTAGAATTCACAGCAGCTCTAACAAGCAGATTGCAACAAAAGTGGGTGGGGATGGGCTGGTTCCTCATTAGTAAATATTCTCATCCAGACACACCAGTCTTGAAACTAAGACATTTCATGTTAATTATCTCAGCAGTGTTACAAATTATTTAAAAAAAAATTTTTTTTTAACGTTTATTTATTTATTTATTTATTTTTAAAAAAAAATTTTTTTTTTCAACGTTTATTTTTGGGACAGA